AAGCTGCCGCGGTGCCGCGGGCGGGGAATGCCGGCGCGGAGGGCCGAGCGCTGAAGGGCTGAGGCGGGGTTAGAGGCCCAAAAGCCGTGGTTGCGCGAAGATGGGGGCGAAGAAGAAAAAAAAGGGTGTTGGGGGCGAAACACGTTTGGGTTGTAGAAAAACGTGGAGTAAGAGAAAAAATCCTCAACGGAAGAACTTTATTAAGGGGAGAGGGTGTGACTGCTCTACCGGCAATTATTTTAAGACTCGGTGATAGATGATGGATAAGGAGCACTGAAGGACAAGTGTGATGGCAATGACCAGGAGACTCCAGGACAATAAAAAACAGTTTTAAAGATACTAAAAATGGTAGATGTGGAGACATGAGTCTCAACTGCTTCCACAAAATCCCTTGGTATTAGGCTGTGATTAAAGAAACTAACACAGTGCCTAAACACATGAAAAGGAAGGGAATGCCAGAAAGAAGCATCCTTTCCTCAGGCCCCTCCTAGCTACCACCTCTAGAAACCCAGCGTTGATATCCACCAGCTCTCTAGCAGCTGCGGCCATAAGAGCTTCTGCCAGTGTTTGGTTGACTGCATTTGCACTTCTGGCCCTCCTTTTGCTATAGAAGTGGTACCCAAAAAGAGAAGAATCTGTCCTTGATAAACATACTGCTCACCAAATATGATTTTCAATTCCAAACAGTCGAAGAGGAATAGACAAAATGGCTGTAATAATAACCCAGGGCTTGGAAGTAAGCCTTTAAATGGAAGGCTTAGAAATTTCAGTCTTTTCAGTTTGTCAGGAATAACAACAACAAAAGTTGATTTTATTGTCTAGTGTAGGCTCCTAGACGTGAAAAGGAAGTTTTGGGAAACAAGGATTACATTTCACAGATAAGCTCCAAGAGGCAGTATGCTGAAATTAGGCTGGATCTTGAATTAAGGTGGAGTTTCCAATTACTAAGCTGATTTAAGCATTGTTGAAGTTTACCAGCAAGGGCGATGAATCTTCTGCTACTTTGACTTGCTTAAAGGAGCTTTCTAGAAAGGCTTTAATCCAGCTCTAGGGTGAGATCCTGCAGACCGTCTGGTCAAGTGAGAGCAGATCCCAGCTGTCTGCCCATGAGTCAAAATGTATCTCTAGTGTAGGCATTCGTTCTTCATGCCAACAGTGACCTGTATAGAGGCTATTTGTTTCATAGAATCATAGAATGTTTTGGGTTGGAAGGGACCTTTAAAGCTCATCTAGTCCAACCACCCTGCAATGAGCAGGGACACCTTTAACTGGATCAGGTTGCCTAGAGCCCCACCAACCTGGTCTTGAACGTTTCCAGGGATGGGGCCTCCACCACATCTCTGGGCAACCTGTTCCAGTGCCTCACCACCCTCACTGCAAAGAATTTCTTCTTTATATCCAGTCTAAACCTACCCTGTTTTAGGTTAAAACCGTCCCCCCTTGGCCTGTCACAGCTGGCCCTACTAAAAAGATTTTCCCCGTCTTTCCTATAGGCCCCCTTTAAGTACTGAAAGGCCGCAGCCTGGTCTCCCCGCAGCCTTCTCTTCTCCAGGCTGAACAAGCCCAGCTCTCTCAGCCTGTCCTCACAGCAGAGGTGTGACTCCTCAATGAAAATTGAATGCTCTGCGGTCTGGAGCTGCACTGAGTGCTTTCTCCTCTGAGAGGATCGGGTCTCGGGCAATCGCAGACCATTTGTTTCCAGGATGTGGCAAAGGCACTAGGTGGTGCTGCACTGAAAGAGAAGAATCAGGGTTTGTATCCACAGGAAAACTCTTCCTGACCACGTCAAGGTGAAGAACCGCTACCTCCCTCTTCTTTCCTCCGAGGCTGCATAGGCCTCTACCTGCCGTAACAGCTTTGTGCGTTTTTCCGTAAGGAGGGGATCAATAGATGCTGGTTTCCTTGAACCTTAAACAAACTGACAT